AAGGCATATGAAAGCTCTTAGATTGCTTTTGTCTACAGCCCTGTCTATAAGCCAAACTAATATAAATCTGTTTTATTATACTGGGCAGTTCAGAAAGAAATCTGCATCCCTTTTGACTTCTCTGCCACAAAGGCAATAGCCTTCAGGTTGGGAGTGGGGCATGTTGCCTTGGAAAGCTTCAGCTGTTCCAAAGCATTCCCCCATTCCCTGCCAGCTGAACTCAAATGTGTGCTAACATTATATGGACGAGATTAAGCCCTTCAAGGTTTTAACTGCTTACAGTGAAAGGAACTGAGGAAGAACAAGTACCTGTACTTGGCACCTTCGTCTTGATCCATCTGTGTTTGTACCTGAGCAAACCAGGAGAAGAACTAGAAGAGATTTTATGGTGTGAAAACTACAGACATCACATGAAGTCAAGTAAAAATAAAATCAGATCTACGAAATTAAGATGAGCTTTTGTTAAAAATAAGAGCTGTTTCAGAACTTAATAATTAATCAAGGAAACAAACTGTAACTCTTTGTTTTAGGTTACTTCCAACTGAAACATATTCTATTCCCTTGCTAAATTAAAATGGAAAAGACTAATTTCATCTGTTTTTATCTGCATGAGAACAAGGCTGTCACGTTGAAATAGGAGGGAGAGGGCACAAAGATTCTTTCATATTATGAGCAACACCACCTTACTGAAGGGGTGTCTTACTCTCACAAAAGACTCCACTCAAAATGGGAAAAGTATCTATCACTTAAGAGATCAGACTTAAGGATTTTTCCTCCAAGTTTCTTCATGCACCTTGAAAACATCCCCAAATATTTAATAAACCCACCAAAAGTTAGGCAAGAGACACAGAATCTCACAAATTCTCTGAAGAAGATTACTGCACCTTGGAGGTTCTTCAGCATCACTTACCTGCTGTGCTGTTTCAATTCTTTCATCCTCCATCCCCAGTACTGCAAACCCTTTCAAAAGGACATCCTCCGTGGATTCTGGCACTGCAGATGCCAGCGTAACAGCTAGCGACTGAGACGTCAGGCTGCACAGATCTTCAATTGGAAGCTGCTCACAAAAACCCACAAACTTTGTTAGAGAACTTACTAAGAATTAGTATATTCAGCTCTACTACAATAACAGAGGCCAAAGCCTCAACCTGAGAAAGTTACAGGCATCTACTTTTGAAGAAACAAATGCAATGAACATTTTATCTACCAATATAATACACCGACAACTACCGTATCTATATATTCAGAAGCACCTAACAACTGTTGTTTTTTTTTTTAGTTAAAGTTAGAAAATATTATACAGAATTTCATATAATTACACATTTGTGTAAAAAAAGAAACTGAATGTACATGAGGGTGGTGAGACACTGGAATGGGTTGCCCAAGGAAGTTGTGAATGGTGATTTTCCAGGCTGGGCTAGACAGAGCCTTGGGTGACACAGTTTAGTGTGACGTGTCCCTGCCCATGGCAGGGGGGTGGAACTTGATGATGTTAAGGTCCTTACAACCCTAACTGTTCAATGAGTCTATGTACGCAACATACTGATGAGCTACTATGTCAGGTTCTATACTCACAGAAATGCACCAGGAAAGTATTTGAGAACAGAAGAATTCAGAAAGCATGCAGAAGCAAAAAATAAATGCCATGTATGTTCTACACTGCATGGCAACACCACTGCACAGAAATTGTCAAGATGTTTTTACCAGATATTCAGAGATAAACCAAGACTTAATACTGCCACTATTCACAGTGTTTCATGTTCTTTCAAATGCAAGGTCCCGCACTTGGGTTGGGGCAATCCCAGGCACAAATACAGGCTGAGGGAGACTGGACTGAGAGCAGCCCTGAGAAGGACTTGGGGGTGTTGACTGATGAGAAGGTCCATATGACCCAGCAACATGCACTTGCAGCCCAGAAAGCCAACTGTATGAGGGCTGCATCACCAACAGCATGACCAGCAGGTCGAGGGAGGTGATTCTCCCCCTCTGCTCTCGTGAGACCCCGCCTGCAGTTCTGCATTCAGCTCTGGCGACCCCAACACAAGAGGGACGTGGACCTGTTGGAGCAAGTCCAGAGGAGGCCATGCAGATGCTCAGAAGGTTGGAGCACCTCTCCTATGGAGACAAGCTGAGAGAGTTGGGCTTTTCAGCCTGGAGAAGGATCTGTGGTGACCTTTCAGCACCCTCCTAGTACCTAAAGGGGACTTGCAAGAAATCTGGAGAAAGACATTTTATGGAGGGATGTAGGGATAAGACAAGACAGAATGGCTTTAAACTGAAAGATGGTAGAGCTCATTAGACATTAGGAAATATCTAAGCATATCTCTCTTCCCTCTCCTGGCCCCCAAAAGAGGCAGGATCCCTAGCTGGGAGCCAGGGTTTCTCTTGTGACTACTACTGAGGAAACAGTCACCAGAAAAACCCTTTTCCCTGAGGAAAAGACAAGTTCATCAGAGCCTGCTTTTTCAGAACAGCTAAGTCACCACTGTCCCAATCCACTTCAGCAGAGGCCAAGACCAGCTGAATTACTCAATGTCTTGGCATCCCTGTTGTCCTGTACAGCAAATACAGTACCTGCCTTCTTGCAAAGTTTGTTTGGATCCTTAAAAACCTGCTCTGATTGCAGCATAAGCTTCTACAATCATTTTGGATACCTGCCAATATTTACTTGAGTACAGATACATACAACTTACACAAAAAAACAGACCAGGAAGCATGAAATGAAACAGGTGCATTTCAGGGAGGAACTGTTTTACCCCCTTCTCTTTTGTTATTTTGACCTTTCAGACACTTGACGAGAGCCAACTTTTTGATTTTATGGCACTGTATCTAGTTCACTGTACCTAGGAACACTGTTCCTGTTCAAATACAAAACCTCCCATGAAAAACATAGTTAATGAATGCAAACATTTCGCTCCACTTCCCTTTACAGACAAAGGAGTACTCATCAATAATCATCAGTCTAATGTTTTATAACTGAAGAGAAGACCATGTCTTCCATGGTAATAACAAATTATTAAGCTTTTGCCACTATTCCTGCCTTTTATGTCTTGCTCAATCATCTGTAAGTGGTACTTGGAAATAACACTAGTGCCAGCAGCTATGTATTGATCAGGACCAAATTAAGAGAACCAAAACTATTATTAGGAAGAGTTCTCCACTACGAGGGTGGTGAGGCACTGGCACAGGTTGCTCAGAGAAGCTGTGGCTGCCCCATCTCTGCCTGTGTTCAAGGCCAGGCTGGACGGGGCTTTGAGCAACCTCGTCTAGTGGAAGGTACCCCTGCCCATGGCAGGAGGTTGGAACTAAACGAGCCTTAAGGTTCCTTCCAACATAAACCGTTCCGTGATTCTATGAAAGCCACAGAAGATCACGATGGTAGCTCTATTTCAGCAGAAAAAATTCCGATGAACCGATGTAAGCTATAAGGCTAGGCAAGGAAATCCCTGTGGATTTTAGGCTGAAAGCTTTGATCGCTGCCTACCAGCCCCTGCCAGGCAGGACGGGCGCCCGCACCGCGGCAGGAGGCCCTTGTTGGAAGGACGAATCCTCCCGGGGGCCGGGGAAGCGCAGTGAGGGGAACGCCGGGTGCCCTGCGGCCTGACACCCAGCAGGAACGCAAACCTCTGCTGAGCCCCGTGGTCACCGGCGGGCAGCGGCAGCCTCGTAAGCACCCCCGGCCGCCTGGCGACGTGGCACTGAGGCGCCGCCCGCTCCCCGCCCGCCCGCTCGCTCTCCAGCCGGGCAGCGTCGCCGCCTCACCTCGGGCGGCACCGGCAAGTTCTCTGCCGCCGCCTTCAGCTCCAGCACCGAGTCGGTCTGTCGGTCGCTGAGCGGCGCGGCGGGCTGTGGGCGGCGGTCCCACAGGCTCAAGCGGTCCAGCACGTCCCTTCCCGCCGGCTCCGCGGGCGGCAGCTCCGCCATGCTGGCGGGGAAGGGGTGAGCGGCCGCCGGGCCGGGAGCGGGGCTGGGCGCGGCGGAACACCGCGGCAGCGCTTCCGGGGAGGCACAGCGCGGCCCCTCCGCGTCGCGTGACAGCAGCGTCATTGGGGGGGAAAAGTGCGTCAGCGAGCATCAGCTGGCCGGGACGGCGCCCCCTGCCGGCGGGGAGGAGCGAAGGGGCTGCCGCCTCCCCGGGCTTGGCCAGCGCACGGCTGCGGCCGCCCTCCCGCTGACCGGGACTGAGGGACACCGGCGGCGGCCTGGAGAAAGGAGGGGCGGGCGGGTGCTCGTCCTCCCCATACCCAGGGGCTTTCCTTCCCGAGGCCGCAGGACAGCCCTAGCGATGGCTCCTTGCTCCAGGCAACCCACGCTCCTCCTGGGCGTCAGCTCCCCACCCCAAACAAAATCACCTCTGAGTTGAAGAGCTTAAGGCACTGCCTGCAACAATCACCTTCAGCTGAGATCCTGAACCAGTAGTTAAGGGTAGGAGACTGGAAATGTGAGAAGGACATGGAACTGCTGGACCAAGTCCAGAGGAGGCCCACGAGGATGATCAGGGGCTGGAGCACCACCCCTATGAAGATAGGCTGAGAAAGTTGGGGCTGTCCAGCCTGGAGAAGAGAAGGCTGCATGGAAACCTCATAGCAGCTTTCCAGTATCTGAAGGGGACCTAGAAGGTATTAGAGACCCTTCATCAGGTAAAGACAGTAAGAGAGGTCATGCGTTCAGACTTGTGAGGGTGGCGAGACACTGGCACAGGTTGCCCAGAGAAGCTGTGGCTGCCCCATTCCTGGCAGTGTTCAAGGCCGGGTTGGACACAGTTGGAGGAACCTGGTCAAGTGGAAGGTGTTTGTGCCTGTGGCAAGGGGGTTGGGACCGGATGATCTTGAACTCCTTTCCAGCCCAAGCCATCCTAGGACTTTATAAACTTCATTTCACCATTCACACACCTTAAGTGCTCAGCAGTTAGGTTTAGTCCATCTTCCCTCCAGTATAATGGGTATAGCATATTCCACACTCCCACCCTGTCACTCCCAAGTGAGCTGTTCAGAGTCATCACACAATGACTTGAAAACTTGTAATAAGGTTACAAAACCCATACACTTAGCTTACATAGTGTACAAAAATTTCTACAATTAAATCACAGAAAAGCTGTACAGAAAACCACTGCACAGAGCATAACACCACACATAGAAAAACATTGTACTTCAGGAAAGAAAGTGCTTTCTGCATTTAGAAATCCATTTGTGGATCTTATGACTTCAAAATTACTATATTCTCATAACAGTTTAAGTGGAATGTACAATTAACCAAAAATGTTTAAGAGATACACACAATGCTACAAAAATACAAAGCTATACATCCCACTTTGCCATCCTCTGTAAATACAGAGGAACCATCCCATGACTGACATATTGCATGTTTCCTTGCCTGGACTTCACCAGCAGCATTTAAGAACCTTAATATATTGTTTCGTTAATGGTCCTGAAGTTTAAGATACTCATTTCAGGCAAAAGGTAATGCTTGAAGGCAGTTGTAGTTGATTTCTACATGGTGTTTACTTGCATGTATGTTGTACAGTTGTACTCAGTAGTTCTGGGTTTGGGTGTTATCTTAAAGAAGGAAAATGATCTTTATTGTGGATTTACCTTTGGAGGGGCCTGGTTCTTTTCCTGTGGCACCTATATAACACAGCCAGAACTGCTCAGTGTAAAACTTGTATCTCAGATGATACATAACACCCAGTATCCATTACAAATAGCTCTTCCCAACAACAGGAAAGGCATAGAAAGTTTCTCTGCAAGACATGCAGATAAGCATGGACTTGCTTGAACTTCATTCCTACTTGTGAATTTACATATGCATACATTGAAGAATCACGCTGAAAAAAAAATAAAAATCAAGAATATATGGGAGAACACTTGCAGCTATACAAACTGACAGTTGTGGCAACCATGCTTTCAAAGGAAACTGGATCATTTCCAGCAACTTATGCCAACATCTAAAGTCTTAGAACACAGGAAAGCTCTAAAACCAGAAGCAGATTTTTATCTTGCAGCAGGTATTTTACTGAACTGAAAGCCTGAAAAGGCATCTTCTAGTTACTTTGAAACTAGAAACTACCACAGTCAAATTGCATACCCTTATGGAAGGAGAAACTCAGCTCTGTGGTACTACCTATCTTTCTCTGCCTCTTAAAAACATTGTGCATCTAAGTCTCAACAGCATAAAGCTGTATTACAGACCTTCACATTCAAGTAAACTTACACAGCTGACAGACGGAATGCCACCATATTTGATTCTGTCTAGAAAACAGTGCACATCACCCACAGAGTCACATAAGCAAGCTGTTGTTACAGGAGCCAGTCAGCCTTGAAACCACTTCCAGGTTCTTGTCATTCACAACAGTCTTACAGTGACCTCTTCCTCTGGCCAGCATCTCCAACAACAGAGAGTAAATACTCAAGACAACTTACAAGTTGCTTTAAACTCAAACAGTACATTCACAGAATTCAGGATACAGTTCAGCATGTCAGTCTAATTTTTTCAGCTGTTCATATGTTAGAAAGAACTGGGACAGCTGATTAAGGAAAACTTTCGTATTCACATGTGGAAAATGCGTCACCTCACCACTACAGTACAGCTGCATCTGTGTGAAGCTTTGCTCCACTTTGTTGCCTCCTATGCAGTCCTGCTGGTTGGCCATTTTTGTTACACAGTACTAGACAAAGAAATGAAATTTGCTTTAAGGCTGGTGATGCCAATCACTTTCCCATACCTATTCCTCAGGATCTTAAACACAAGACTGAGGAGGCAGGAGAACACTGTGAAAGCTTTGAAAGAGTCTTTGCTCAGTTAACTTTGATGGGCTAAAGTAGGTTTGCTCATGGTAAAAACCACTACTACCAACTCACTTCCCAAGGCTCTGATCAGCTGGCTCTTGAAACTAACAAAATTGTGTGAGAAAGATAAACAAAACAGATTTCATGGCTAAGCACCATTTCCCCCAGTTCTGGAAGCAGCCCCCATTCCTAACTTATCTGGGCAATTTTATTTAAAGCTAGGCTCCAAACCACAGAAATGGACAAGTATGAAGTTGGAGGAACAGAAAAATGTTTTGCAAGATAACATTCCAATATTCATTCTACGTGTATCACAAATTCACTCTGACCAGCAGCAGCTGATGAAGAAAACTCTCAACTACCCAATTTTCCATTCATACAAAAGGAATATTTGTGCTGACATGACACTTTGCACACTGAGCAGTCTGTGAAACCATCAACACCTGCTGTTTTATTGCTAGCTTCATAGTTTTGCACACCTTTGAAAAGGATACAATGATATTCCAAGGACCAAGTCTTAACCAGTTTGGCCAAAACCCCTTATATAGAGCAAAAAAGCCTTCATTCTTCCATGTCTGGGGAAAGAAAAACAAAAACAAAAAACACCACACAGTAAGAACAATTCATTCTTATTAGTGAGAAACCTAGGCGGCATCTCTTAAACATATTGTGTGAGGAGACAAAAACATTTCACTATATAAAGCTAAAATTAGAGAAGCCCACATCACCATGGTAGGTTAAGATGCAGGTCATTAAGCACCCAACCTAGATTTGTCCAAATTACATTCCTGGACTTTTTTTACCCCTATAAAATCCCTTGCAGATGGGGTGTGTGTGTATATACATATACACACACACACACACACAATGTATATTTAGACCTGCAGCTCACATCTAGTACCCACTTGAAATTTTCCATTTTGCTTTATGAACTTCACAAAATTGCACTGAACAGTGCAACTTGTTCTGCAATAGAAACAGCACTGTCCAGCCACTCTTCTCCATGTAAAAGGCTGTCATGCTCCCACCTCATACCCAGTTTAGGTATTTAAACAACCCAAGCCAAAATAATATCAGACACTGATACTGGCTTTGGCTGTACTAGTCTCTCCAATATGCAGTAAGCAGAGAAAACAACCGACCCCCAGAAGATGTTCTTAAAGGACTGACCTATGAAGTCATTTCCTATCATTGTATTAAATGTTACATCTTGCAAAGTAAAGTAAGAGACAGTGCCCTATCCAAGCACCAAAAGGAATTGAGTGCCTGCAGTATATATTGCCATTCTGTCAAGACAGTAGATGTTTTTCACACCAGTGTGTTATTGGCAATGCAGTCCTTTTGAGGATTATGGCAAAAAGCACACCTAAGTTACTTGGAAGATTAGAACAATTTTGAGCTCTATACCAAAAATCATTGCTCAATGGCACCAGTTCCTACTAAAGTTGATAAATTAACTACTTACTTGTAATAAGCAGTCCAAAGTACCCTTGTAGTTTGAGTGTCCCCCATACTGTTGGCTCCTCTGATTCATCATGCGTGTTCTTACAACATCAATTGGGTTGGATGCAAGGGCTCCAGCTAACCCACAAGTAAAACTTGAGCTAGCAAAAGAAGGGTTTAATGAAATTTGATCTAGCACATTTAGAGATGCACAAGAAATACTGCATGTTTTCTGGGGAGGGGGAATAATGAGCACTTAATGATTTATTTAAAAATTACATTTGCTAATAAATTTGAAAAATTACTTTTCATTTACTATAAAGCATAATTTTGAAGATTTGCTACACAGCTCTTATATACAGTCTCTGGACACTTGAACAGATGTTTGTGCCTCAAAAGCAAATATTTGATTGGAACTTTCCTCTAACTTCAATTTGCACAGCTGAATGATTTGGACAACCCACAAAAAAAATATCCATATTCAAAAGGAAGTTAAATCCAAATTCTAAATAAAATTAAATACCATGCTATATGCTACTATTTTAGATGCTACTGCATTAAAAAGTATATATTTAAATATACTTCTGATGTATTTATATTTTAAACTTGTATCTTTAAATATATAGATGACAAATCAAAATACTGAACCCCCCCTAATGAGACCTAACCAACAATGAGCTATGCAAACAGTTTTGCAGACTTACAGGAAGTGAGTATATACGGTATCTCCCATAAATCCAGACATAATTATGTGCTTCTTGGTAAGGTCATACACTGGCAGTTCTACTCCTACAACAACAGCAGCTCTCTGTGCTGTCAATGATACTCCCTGGCAAAAGAAAGCATACAGGTGAAGTTTAAAATTAGCTTTGTGCGCCAGAAGCAAACACTAGCTTTTGTCATGGTTTAATCCAAGCCTGCAACTAAAGTGCTACACAGTTGCTCACTCACTTCTCTCGCCCTCTGTTGGGATGGGGAGGAGACTCAGAAAAAGGTAGAACGCATGGGTTGAGATGAGAACAGTTTAATAATTGAAGTAAAATGATTTAATAGAAATAAGAAAAAGAGGAATAAAACCCAAGACAGACAAGTGATGCACAATACAACTGCTCATCACCCACTGACCTGTGCCCAGCCCATCCCTGAGCAACAATCAGCCCCCCCTGGCCAACTCTTCCCAGTTTATATACTGAGCATGACATTCTATGCTATGTAATACCCCTTTGGATAGTTTGGGCCAGGTGATTCCATCTCTGCTCCCACCTGGCTTCTTGTACCCCTTCTTATTGGCAGAGCATAAGAGACTGAAAAGGCCTTGATCAGGGTAAGTGTTACCAGGTAACAACTCAAAAAAAAAAAAAGTGTTATCAGCATAATTCTCAGGCTAAAGCCAAAACACAGTACTGTACCAGCTGCTAGGAAGAAAACTATCCCAGCCAAAACCAGGACACTCTAGTAATACAAAGCAACACACCATGAATGTGTTAAGAACACTGTTAATACAAATAAGGCTAATTAGCACAAGTCTCAGATGTGTGTGTGCTCCAAAAGCCCACAAATTCAAATTGATAGATAGAACACTTAGAATCACAGACTGGATAGGGTTGGAAAGGACCTTAAGATCATCTAGTTCAAACCCCCCTGCCATGGGCAGGGACACCTCACAGTAGACCATGTCACCCAAGGCTCTGTCCAACCTGACCTTGAGCACTGCCAGGGAGGAAGCATTTACCATTTTGAGCAACCTGTTCCAGTGCCTCACCACCCTTACAGTAAAGAACTTCTTCCTAACATCTAACCTGAACTTCACCTGTTTAAGCTTGAACCCATTACCCATGGTCCTGTCACTACAGTCTCTGATGACGAGTCCCTGTCTAGCATCCACACTGCATGGCAATTTCAGTTCCTGTATGCTACCCCACCTCTGCTTATCATCCAAATTCTTAGATCAACATCAAGCTATGACCTCCACAACTGGATGATACTGTGTCCCTTAATGCTAACTGAAAAACTGACAGAATAAGGAATATGAACAGAAAAAATAGAGATCAAGAAACTTTGCAGAGAAAAGTACACCAAGAAAAACATTTCTATTTTCCAGCTGTTTCAGAACAATCGCACATTTTGGATCTTCAGTTGTTATACATTCACTGGCTGTAATTGGCATAAGAGACAACCTACAAGACTGAGTATAAGAATTCCTGAGCTAGACGGGATGATTATTAGTGCCTTCCCTTCTAAATATTGTTTAGTATGTTTTAGAAAAAGCAGAGCATACAGATTGAGGGGTGTCTTGCAAAGTGTTGCTATATTAGTCCTGTAGCCAGTCACCCTAATTTAAGCCTCCTTTTACCTCCCCTTTACTAAGTGGCTAATCTTTGAACACAAGATTGGCAGTAACCCTCTGTCAAAACACAGAGACACCAGCAATGCAGTTGTCCTAACAAACTACATCCATATTAGCTTCTCCATATTTTAATAGAGAATACTGTAGAAGTACATGAAATTCAGTTGAGCAAGAAACGTGCTCAAAATGTAGAATACAGTTCAACAAACTTGCCTTCCATAAGCCTTTAGTGCCTTCCTTTTGGTAGATCTGTATGAAGTTACCCATCATTCCTCCTTGAATCACACTACCTTGGGCTTGCATTCTGATCTGCAATTTATTTAAAAAAAATCAGAATATAAATATTTTTTCAAACTTGCAACAATAGCTTAATACAGTTTTATTGACATTTTAAGTTAACATTTTTAGTAAATTCAAGTTTTTTGAATAAAAATTAATAGCTGACATTACCATAACTATGATGCGATTTTTTTGACTTAACCATCCAAATGCAGCTGCTAATTTTGAACAAGTGCATGCTATAATTCTTAACTGCATTAAGTCACTTCTATTTCTGTTCTCGCACACTACTCCATTTAGATTAGACTGACAGATGGGTTCTGCAGGATGTCCTTTACAGCGTTCTCACAGGAATACGTTAAAATGGAAGGTTAAAAAGATTAAGGCTTCAGCTAGTGAAAACCACAGCATTCAACCCTGTGGATTTCTAAGAAGGTATTTGATAGTTACCATGTCAAGTTCCCAAGAACAAGTCTGGTGACAAGTAAGTTGGTACATGGACATAATTTTGGGAAATAACTAATTGTTCCCACACTTCAAATAGTTTTAATTTTTTCATTAAAGGCAGCCATGTAAGTCATATGCTACAGTTTTGTGAGTTAAATACCATCAATCCGTCTGAGCTCTACAACATCCTAGTATAACCATCTTGCCAAGAAGTATAGATGAAATATGCAGTGTGGCTTCCACACACAACATAGCATAAAAGTTAAGCCATATTATTCTCTCTCCACCCTGAGAAAATGTTATATGGATCCAACTACCCTCCCCAAGCCATCAGTTTCCTGGTGCATACTTCAAAATTATTAGTATGGACCAAAAGGAGGTTCCAAGAATTCAGGATGTTACTCATTTTTAAAAGTCAAGAGATGAGAATAAATAGGGTTACAGATCTTTTATTCATCAGGAGATTCTGCATTTCCTCAAGGAGAGGACAAAAAAGGTACAGATGAACTCTAGACACTTACCTTTAAGACATCTGTAGGGTTGGCAATAGATGATGAGATTACTCCCGAAAGAACACCACATAGAACATTTATCATCAGGGTTTCATCTATTCCATAAACAAAGAAGTTTAGCTGCAGATTTACAAAGCTTTAGCTGCATCAGGGCAGGATGATGCCACCCCTCCTTTAAGCAGAGCGAATACCAATTACAGAAGCCTTACAAACTATTCTGACAAATTTTCCTTGCTGGTTCACTTTAATTGGTATACGGAAAGTCATTCTCAGTAGACTTCTTCAAACTGTTACAGTAAAATACCAAGTGGAAACAACCAGCTTCAAGCAAATCAGTCCTCAATTAAATTGAAATAACCCACTCACCTTCTGGATGCTCAACAAATGTTCTTTTTAAGCTCTGGTAAGTGCCTATTTTTATAGTTCCATATGAAGCTTGCCTTAGCATCGCAGGTGCAATCCTGTAAAAAGAGGTAATGATAATATTTACGCTATAAATTGAAAAAGACTGATGAGCAAATACTTTCTAGAGCACAAAACTGAATAAAAGATAAATACCAGATTTAAATCTTTACCAGATTTAAATCAATGATTTAAACTCACTATAGACAAAAGATTTGGGGTTTGGGGTTCTTTTAACTAAAGCCTGCAAAAACATGAATGAACTATGGAAGGATTACTATTAGAGCATGCCTCAACTTGTAATCTATGAAATAGCTGGCAAGCCTGTCTGAAATGTGATCTGCAGATTACATCTTTCCCCACCATCTTGCATGCTTTAAAGATAAGCATGTCCATTTATACACAAATTTTAATTCAATTTTTCATGAGATGGAACAACCATAGCAGCATTGTATAGAACAATTTTATGCTTTGCTATTCCCTCGCCCCCCCCCCCAGTAGGTTTTGGGTTGTTTTTTTTTTGGGGGGGGGGGGGGTGTGTCAAGATGAAATACTATTGCAGAGTACAAACATTGAAGGAATCTAAGCTTGGACTTTCAACTTCCAGACTGAGGATAACCAAAAGCCTTGTAATTCTGAAGCCTAAGAATTTACATACTATGGGCTCATACTTATCAATAGACTGCTCATAAACCATTAGTGCAAGTCAGTTTTACCCAGAGTATAAGGCTTTCAATCCTTCTTCTCTGCTTATTCTGACTAGTGCATGCATCATTCCACGGTAGCGGATCTCTTTATATTTGGCATCATTAACTTGACCTTGAACCTGGAGACGTGTTTTTGTCAGATCAATGGGAAAAGTACCTTACAGGAAAAAAAAAAAAACAAAACAGAAAATTGAGTACTTACCTAACCAAACACAAAGAACATGATGTAAAACCTTTATTATATACCAAAATACGTAAGAACACTCCCATAGGAAAAAAGTCTCTTACCAAGACTTTCTTTTAAGCAAGTGCTTCATTTTATGTCACTTTGTTTCTTCTAGAAGCTTGTCAGAGGCCCTACCTCCTATGTTTGTTTCACATTCATTATATTTTTAGGAAATACGATGTTGTCTAGTTGTAAATAGCCACGCTGAATAGACTCTGCAATCACAATCAAGTACAGAGTTTGGATGTGTGTTCTACCAACATCTTTGAAGAACATTTAATTGAAGGCAAAGAAATAAATTCTATAGGCTAGCTATAGAGATTCCAGCCTGGAATCTAAAAAAGCAATAGCAGCAGCACCCGTTTCTGTCATTGCTTTCCTGTAGCCTGCTGCTATGTCAGGTTCACACTCTCCATGTTCCCTCATGAAAGGGGCTTAGAAGCCTATTCCTCTAAAGCTTATCTTTAGGAAAGAGACAACCTCAACATTCCATACTCACCTAAACATTAACAGGAGTCAGGATTAACTACATCTTTTCTAATGAGGTTTACCAGACAAGCAAGGCTTTTTAGGAATTGCTCGTCTTTCTCTTGGCATCATTGGCCCCATTCAAACAAGTCAAGTAAGAGACACTTCAAACTCAAGTCTGAACATTATTCATAAAAGAACACAAAAAAGGAAAATAAAATAGTATTTTTAAGTGTACTTTTATACAACACAGACTTTATTAGACAAATTTTATGTGTAAGCTCACCACATGTCAGGCTATGTTCTGCTACTATGAAAAAATAGATTTCCTTTATTTTCATGTACATGCAATTCAGATAAGACTTTAAAAGGATGTTGGTATTTTAGGTTTGTCTTTAGAGTAGACACCAAGAAAAAAAAAATGCACTGTCTCACCATATCAATTATTCTATGATGCTCACTAACTGAGTTTAGATGTTCAAATCTCATCAGCCACTCACAGCCAAGAAAAGGGAGTTTCAACTGCAACACAGCTACCCAGAAAAGCTAAGAGCTTAACTTGGCTACTCTAGCAACACAAAAGCTGGGTATACTTACGACCATCCAGGAACAGATCAAACACCAAATAATAGAACGCAAAGGCAAAGTTTGTGTATAAACAAGACACAACGGATGGGAGTTTACAGACAGAAATGTTCTGACACTAATGAAGTCCTGAGCAGCTCCTTAGTCAGTATTAAGGAAAAAGCCTCCTATGCTTTAGGCCACCATATGCTACTGATAACATGGAACCAAGCTTGTTTTTTAAAAGAGACTGAGTAGTGGAAGTTCTCTAAATAGTTAAGAGAAAAGCTTACCACATTCTGCAGTGATTGATGCTAATCCTCCATAGATAAAGGGCTTCCAGTTTAGTGCTGACATTGTTGATTATTCTTTCTGCAAAATAAGACAGTGCTTCTATAAGTACATCTGTTATATAAATATATAAGCCAACAATTAATAAAGTTTTGTGTCTTGTCCATTTAAGATGAACCTTCCAAGCACACCAAGGATAAAAGCATTTACTACCTTTTATAATCTAAGGTCAGTAACACTATACAAAGGCATCTGGGCACAAATCAATGTCTCTACTATGTATTTGGGCCACCACTATCCTCACCATGAAAGGTTAAAGTAGTTAGTCTCCCAGACATGATCTTATGGAGCACTGCAGTGAATAACCTCCAACAGCTCTTACCAAACTGAATTAGGTGGACCAAGTTCAACAATCAAATGAAATTTTACAAGTCATTACCAAACTTCTATTCCTTTCTTTCTGGTTAACATTAACATGAACTGAGCTCCTACAGTTGGTCAGAAAATAAGGGTGTACACAACACTTTGCTTCCCTTAAGGCCTATTTCAGCTACCAGTGTTCACAATGTTAATTCCTGTGAACATTACGCTATTTTCATGTAGTCAGGTGCATAAGGCCTTTTACAGTAAATAAAGGCTGCTCTAACTTGGAAGTTGATTAAGTGAATTTGACACAGTGACACAAATCGTAATTAACTCTGGCACAGCCTTTTAAAGATGCTGAAATAATCCCATTACCTTAGAAAAGAGGCAAGAACTGCAAAACCAGACTAGTGCAGCCAATACAAAATTGCCCTTCCCAAAATAAAGTAGGCCTCTCCACAGCTTACTTTTTCCCCTTCTTATAATGTAAATACTTCCCATTCCCCATTTTCTAGAATATCCTCCTCTACACATTGGATTCTACAGTTATCTGCTGCCAATTAATAAAAAACCCATCACAGCTCAAAGCACAATTTCAAATACTCGACCACCAAGCACACACAAAACCATCTTACTCCTCAGGCTGCAGCCAAGATCACCACTGATGTAAAAATAATTAAAAAAAAAAAATAAAGAGGAAAAGGCAAGTAAGGACACCCACTACATTGCCAAGAAGAGCACAGTACAAAGATCAGGAGCCACAGGCTTAGACTATGCCAGCTTTGCAACGCAAAAGCAGCGGAGCCGCACGGGTATGACACTGTGCCAGAGGGAGGCCACTTCCACCTCCAAGTTCCTTGTATTCCTGTCCTGCCATGATTAATGGCAGATCATTTAATTAACAGAGACAGAGGCAAGCTCATTTTCCCCACTATCAGCCATGCATGTGATCTTGAGAAACTTGTCAAAATTTAAAATACAATTACCTTCCTCCCTCAACACATTAACAAATTTTCATCTACCACAAACACTAACAATCCTAAAATTAAGATACATATCTGCATCTTTACTTCACTCTGCTGGGCAATGAAAGCTACTAGTAATTCTGGGGCACTGACATGATGCAGAAGCATACAAACATCACCAAATAAAGTTCCCCATTTGTATACAGAACTACTAATGCTGGCTGAACTTTCAATACATGTGTAGGACACCCTAATGCAGAATTTTTACAGCATATTGTTCCTTTAATGCATCCCAAGGTGAGGGCCTTACATAGCACTGTCAAGGTTTGTACCTCTGAAAGGCTTGAAGCAGAGTGGCAGAGTTTATTTAAATATATATACATAATCTCAGAAAATTTACACCAGCAAACAATTCTGCCCTTTCACCTCAGCTGTTTCATTTTCATAGAACAACAGACTAGTTAGGGCTGGAAAGGACCTTAAGATCATGTAGTTCCAACCCCCTGACATAGGCTCACACTAGACCATGTCACCTAAGGTCCTGTCCAACCTGGCCTTGAACACTGCCAGGGAGGAAGCATTTACCGCTTATTTGGGCAACCCATTCCAGTGCTTCACCACCCTCATAGTAAAGAATCTTTTCCTCCTTATTTTCTGAATTCCCGTTTTGCTTTTTACTCAGAACTTCTTTCCTACTCTGATAAAGGTATCTCCTTTGAAGAATTCCATATCAGATAACTGGCAAACTACTTAAAAGTTAACCCTCATTAGAATGAGGAACTGGCAAACTACTTAAAAGTTAACCCTCATTAGAATGAGGTCTTCAGGTCTTATTAAAACAAGGTCTTATTAAAAAACTGTCATCAGTAAGATGACAGAAGTGATACTCTCCCTAAGGGACACTGGGTTAAATTAATACAGAGAATCATCCACACACTGCAAAAGTTAGAAGCAAGTTTGATCACTTTTAACTGGCAATGTAACTGAAATAAAATCAAGAGCCAAAGTTCCACAGAAGAATGAATCAATTAGGACAAATACTTAGGTATCTCCCTGTTAGGAAACAGACTTTAAAAGAAATATGTCTAATTCTTTATTTGTTAAACATATTGCTAGCATACTAGCCACAGTATACTCCAGTTTACAGTAATTTTAGCTATTTAAAATTAATTTGACTGTTACAAAAGGCTTACACTAATGAACTATTAGTCCTAAAAGGTTATTACCTGCAATATAAACATGCACATATAAGACAGTTATCCAAGGAATACTTTTTAACTGCATGGATTATCCTGCAGCCACACACCTCAGTTCTTATTCAAGCAGTGAAGTATGATCAGGAAGAAAAAGGCTAGGGTTAAAGCTAGCAGCCCTCGTGGCAAGTCCTTGCAAAATAGCGGCTGTTTTACAAGTAGGGAAGCCAGTGAAATCCCTTCCCAACTAAATGGATGCACTGCAGCAGTGCCTCCCTGAGCAGCACCGCCAGCCTACGCTTAAACAGCTAGAGCAGTGACCCAAAGATACCTGTGAAGGAGCGAAGGGAGGAGGGAATAGCCACTGCACCGACCAAACAACCTTTAACGAACGACCACCTACGAAACGAAGCACAGCTTCATCAGGAGGGGAAAACAAGGGAAAAAAAGGAAGCGGCATGTAACTGCTCGGGGATGGAAGGCCCTGGAGGGTGCCGAGCAAAGCTCAGCAAACCTTCGTCCTCCTTCACAGGTAGCGCTCGGTGAAGCTCACAAATACATACCTGCACCCGGCCGGGAGATGACCCTCACCAGCACCCGCGACCTGAGGAGACAGCAGCTGCCTCCGCCGCACTCACCGCCAGAGCCTCCCCTCCCCTCCCCGTGTTTCGGTATGCCGACAGCCACCACCCCGCGCTGCCGGTTATAAGGCGCTGCTCTGCTCCCGTCAGGAGGGGTGGTGGCTGGGGAGCGCGGGGCACGGCCCGGCCCCGCCTAGCTCCCCCGTTTGGGCGGGCTTGCCTGAGGCAACAACCCGGTGAAGGCCGGAGAGCTGTGTGCGTGGAAGGGGTGGATTTAAAGGGCCCGCGGAGGGGAATTGATTTGAGGGTGCTGTCGAGCCTGTAATAAACCAGGGAGGTGAGAGGAGGTAGGAGTTGATCCCCCGTCTTTCCCGTCAGGAGCCTCCCTTCCCTGCTGGCTTTTCGAGACTTGTGGCTGTCCGGGACAGTGTGGTATTTTCCACTAGTAATGCCACCCGGGCGACTGTGCTACGAATGTTGGGCATTGCAGTGCTCCTCGGTTGGTGAACAGGATGCTCACCCCTAAGGGTTCCTCCTCATCATTGACTATAACGACATTATTTTGTCCCTAGGTGTACAGTTGCATGGCTGCCCGTGCTGCCTGGAGACACCACAGCTGTATCTGGGTTAAGCTTCCTTAAATTGGTACAGGAAACTTGGATATCTTCTCTGAGAAGGAACAGAAAGGGGCAGGGTGGGTTTAAATAACTACTTTGCTCTTTAAAATACCCGGTTAACTATTTCTGACAATATAGTTCCACAGGTGATTTTTTTATTATTATATAATATTTGGGTTTGAAGGGACCTTCAAAGGTTGTCTAGTCAAATTATGCAGCTTTGTGCAATTCTAATGCAATTTCTTTGCATTACCAATGCTGAAATTATGCACTCAGCTTTACATTGCTTTGTAAATATATATCCAATGCCCACTCAGAAAGCTCAGGGTATGCTATGGGGGACACTGATGGTGGCAGAGGGGCTACCCAAAAGGGCAGGTCTCAGCTGCGGTACAGGTGTCAGTGACCAGCCCACCAAGGCTAGATGAAGGGGCAACTAGTCAATTCCCTTGGGTCAGAGCCCAGGACTCCCTCTGAAGTAGCTGAAGTTAGCTCCTCCTCTGCCCCCAAAGGCAACCTGTTCTGGCAACTCAGCACTTTCCCTTTCTGATTGAGGAGATGCCAGACCTACTTGTAGGGTCTACCCTGCTGCCACTGTCACTCCACTGCCTTGCAACTGGATGGCATGCCTTACCCCAAAAGGTCAAAGCATCCTGCAGTACTACTCTCCTCACTGATCTCAGAGCAAGGCTAGCAACTGAGAAACTATTTAAGCTTACTGGCTGGTGGAGGAAGGGGTTAATGCCCATTCAGCTCCCACGAAGTAGCTGCCTGTGGCCTTACTTTCATGTGTCAGTAAAACATAAGGAATTAAAAATTGGGTCCCAGTGTGCTGGAAATGCTTCATATGTTTAGTGAAAATACATTTCACTACATCTCATACATGTAGTGAAAATACAACCACCAAAGTCCATCACAGACCTCCCAGAAGTTTTCATTTTGGTTGTTACAGTGTGGGCAGCCCACGGAGCTTGTGCTTCAGTTGCAGTGTGACAAAGTTCTCTTTGCAGATGGGCTTCTTGGAAGGTAGGTACAAACTCACAGCTCAGAATCTGTACTCGTGTTCAGACCCCTCCTAAACTCCTAAAAAAACTGTCTAGTAGTTTCCAAGTGTTGTATCTCCAGCAGCTAGTTTCTTATTTGGGGTAAACTTTGAGTGGCTCCTTCCTTTTGCACAGAGATCATTTGAACTGATTCTAACGCTGAAGATCATTTGAACTGATTCTAACGCTGAGTGGTTCAGCAGGACAGCCACTTCTGTTTCCTGACTTCCCCAATTTCTGTTTCCCTTTAAGGACTTCAGTTCCAGTTTGACCTTAAATTGTTCCTGCAGTTTGGCCAGCTCCTTACACAGGCAGCCCGTTTGGATTATCTCTGATGCAAACCAGTTCCTGCTCCCACGCTGCAGCTTCCACCTGGTCACATTTTATAAGTACCTGTTAGTACTCAGCCCTGTACTTCTGAATACAAAGGAATTCAGGCTAACTTTTGTTACCACTAGTGGCTTTCGGATGAGTCCTCTGAACAACCTCTTTTCTTGTCTTTTCAGTCAGATTCATACTACAATATATGTAATGCTTTTATCAGCAGCCAATAGACTATTTCTGGCAGGCTGCCTTGAGCCTGACATCAGTGCCATGTCAGCAGTTGACTTTAGTGCTCAGCATCTTTTCACATGTCTCTGAACCATGCATGAGCTAACGGTATGCTACTGGTTGCACAGTCTTACAACAGTTTTGTCCAAAGGCCAGTTCTTTCCTGCTGGGCTGTGTGGGGCCCCTGTTTAATTAATTAGTTCCCAGACCACTAACCTTACCACTCCTGAGTTTCCACACGCAGTTTTTAAGCGAAAGAGGACCACCCTCTAACAATTCTGCCAGAGAACTCTGCTTTTTGTGCACTGATTCTTGTTTGACCTTTTCCACTACTACTTACAATGTAAAATAATTTCTCAGCTGATCTCTGCAGCAGTGAAGACAGTTTGGCTCAGTGACATGCTGCTTAAATGAATGGTTAGTGAAGTGACCCAGATGGTTATGGGCATTATTCAAACTTCCTTGTTGTTCTGAAACTAGTTGTAACCACTGGAGAGTTTCCTTTGTCCCTCAGAAACTTTCATGATTGTTAGTCACATAATTAATTAGCTTTGTTCATATCTATTGGCTGCATGATGAAAGCAAGTCTGCCACATGGGAGCCAATCCCCTCCTGCCCCGCCACAGCCTTCTCATCTTTGGTGTTTGCACTTTCTGTCTGAGAAGGAGTTAATCTGACACCCAGTCATACGGCAGACGACTTTGTTGGAAGAAAATAAACACTCAACATGCTATTGGCATGTGTAAAATTACAAGACATATCACATAGTTCCTCCATCATGTTTGCCAGGGGTAAAGCCTCAGCTGCAGCCATGTCCACCTACTTGTGATGCATTTCAGGTGGGCTGTGGAGTTAGGAGAATAAGGCTTGGGATACAGAACACAATCTGCAGGGAAAGAGCGAGATAACTAGGCTTGTTTATTTTTTAAAAGATAATCATCAAGACTGAAGTTTCTGCCTTGGTAACAGACTCTGCTGTGCAGAGTTCAATGAGAAAGCAACCAATGCAGGAATAACAGTAAATGTTATTTTGTAGCCTTTTTGTTAATGTTTTCTGGTAATCTGATTTGGGCTCTGGCCTTGGCAAGAGCCAAAGGTCTTTATCATATCCTAGTTCTGTGGGTATAAAAGGACCATGTTATTTGTTTATAATGTGTAAAAGGTGAAGGAACAGAGGACAGCTCCTGGCTTTGAGGGTGAAGGAACTGAGAACAGTTCCAGGCTTTGAGTGGACAAGAGAGTTATACAGCATGAGTTCCCAGCAAGACAATTCTAATAAATGTAAACCTGTAATTCAGGCAAAATTTTCTGGAAGTGTTGCAATCCTCCCGCAGTTCCTGGGAAATTGATTTCTGTTCATTTCTGATACTCTCTACAGAGATAATAATCCCTATATATGTCACGGTGTTGATGTTATTTGAATGAACGAACGAAAAGCCGTTCTCAGATAGGAAAGTGCTACAGAAGGCCTTTCACTACTATAGAACACTTTCCAACCTCAACAGGTGATCTGAGAGGTTGGCTGTTGTCCTCTGATCACTTGCCAAATAAAAATCAGGTACAATTGCTTCACAGAAGCTTTTGTCCAACATGGCACTGCAGCTAACCAAGTAGCAGCTGCAAGAAGCGATGCCAATGTGAATGCTAGTAGGTGCAACTCAAGGAAAAGCAAACATGTTTCTATGCCCAACTATAAAACAGGCAGCACGTGGTGTAAGATATGACCTAACCTTTTTCACAAGAGGAGGTTATTCAGTGTTGAATGAAGGACAGAGAGGTCAGTGTGACGCCAAAGAACATGGTATGTATGGTATGGTTTCTACCACTTTAAGTACACCCCTTGATTGGCAGTGGGAAATACCTGCTGGGGGAAATACATATTTGCACTTGACTGTCCTACGAAAGCAGAGTTGCAGTTGAAATAGTTCTACAGCAAGAGAAATGTGACTCATACAAGACAATGGACAGTGACATGGGGTGGCAGGTGACCCAAGCCCATGTCCTTCAAGGACAGGATTCAGGTTGATCAAAACACAGACATACCTATGTAGGAAAATTCAAAATTTCAGCGCTGTTGTTTTTAAAGGAGCCTCACTGTTCTCTTTCCTGATTCCTAAATTCTGATCATTTTCCCACAGTACCTATAGAATACTTTGCATGAAATTATTACCCAAATAATCCATCTTTTCTTCTGTTTACCACAGTCTGGCTTTGGGTAACCCAGCTTCTCCTAGCAGGATTTGAATGCCATTTCCTTCCTTTTCAATTTAAAAATGTACATTACAAAATTTTGTAAAATTAAGTATCATCACAAAGTTTTTTGAAATTAAAAGGTTTTGAAAAGACAGAGTGCTTTCTGAAGAAGTATTTCCTTGCTTTGCAAACCTGCTGACTCACAGGCATGACAACACCAGGGTCCCAGAATTAACACTGTGTTTGGCCAAGATGAGCTGATTGCTGTTAACCTTGAGCAAGATGGGTTATTCTGCACAGCAGGGGGAAACAGCTGTAGGATTTTGTCCTTGACACAAAGGACATATGTACAACTGTCATGAAAAACATATCTTGGACAAGTCAGTATATTTAGTGTGCAGTGGGATTCCTTGCTGACACTGCAAAGCAGCAGCCGCAGGTGGGAGCTTGCATCTCCACTCACTTCAGTAACAAAGCCTAATAGAGTGGGAAAGCAGAGATGGTTCAGGGGCTGGACAGGCACACACTGCAGTGATAGACACCCTGAGCTTCTACAGAAACGTGACAGCTGATGTGTCCAAACACCTCCCTCCATTTCCCATAGTCATCCTTCCCCGCA